AAAAGGCCTTCTGACTGTTATTTGAGGGTCCGTCTTCGCAGCTCAGGGTCCCTGAACAAGACTCCGACCAGCCCTTTATACCTTTAGACCCTCCATTCGGGGCCTTGGTCGTCGGACCCGGTGGGCCCTCTAGGCTCTCCGGGCCTCATAAAATGCTGTCTCTGGCCGAGTCGGCCAGAGGCAGTGTCTGATGCCCCCCCCCCCCCCCCCCCCCAATCGGCCCCCTGACAACACAGGGCCCCTGTTGGGCGCTGTGGGTCCCGGGCAAAGCAGATCGCTGGTTCCGGCTTTGTCTCTGCTTGGAAAATGGACCCTTATACCCACGCCGCCACCAAGCCGAATGTGCGTTACTAGTGGTGTCTGACCGAAATATAAGTCCTTATCAACTCGGTGGACCCCTGATCAGTGGGTAGGGCCCTCTGGCTGGCATTGGAGTGTCCGGCCCTGCGGGCCGGGGCCATTGAATGAGACCTCTGGCTGGCTTTTCGGGCCTTTCGGGCCTTCAAATCGGGCCCTTAATCTTTGTAGAAGGGCCCTTTGGCCGCTCGGAACCTAAGGGGGCACGTGCCCCGTGTTTCCCTCCCCCCCCCCCCCCCTCCTGCCTGCGCTACTGACTGAGCTGAATTAAAACAATTGGAACGGCTATGAGTCATGAACTGAATCCGATCCCAAAGCATTTGAGCCGGTCCCGACTCCGCCCAAAAGAGTTCAGCCCAACGCCACTCTACGTGTAAAAACACGTGCTACGATGGGTCATATTTGTTCAGCATCGTCATTAGCAGCTGTGGCGGGTGTTGACTGGTCGCTATAGGATGCTGCATACATGACCACTGTGCAGCCGCTGAGCGAGAAGAGTCGCGTATAACTTCTCGGGCTGGGCTGGAGACGATTGTGGTCCTGTGTCACGCTGTGACACCTGCGGCCGTTCCAGGTGATCTTAGCTGTGCCTGGCGAAATTATTTTTAGACTCAGCGTCCTCTAACGTGGGACGAGCGGCGAGGTTTTCATAGTTTCACTGCTGAAGTGCAGCAGTTGCCCGACTCACTGAAGCCGTGGCGGACTCCGTTCTGTTTAACTGCATGTGGCAGGTTGCGGTTCCGGTTTTGGCTCTGGGTGCAGGCCGGCCGACCTTGGGGACCTGCGCTGCACTGCTCTTCTTTAGATGCGTGGAAAGCTTACCGGCGTGCACGCGAGGTGGAAGCACTCGGCCGGACGAGAGGTGCGGCTTTTGACGGTGTTGCGCTGGGGCGTACATTTGCGCACCTGTGAGGGGAGGGTCCAGGATTTCGTCAAGGAAGTGGTCAAGCTTCACTGTGGTGCCCCCTGGAACTCGCTGCCCCCCCCCCCCCCTCACAACGCAAGTCCCCGGATTTTGTTCACCTTACTTTCGGTTTTTCTCTTTTAATGGGCGAACTTTTTTCGGACGGAATGGTCAACCGATCTAGCCCACTACATTCAGAGAGTTCGTTATTCTTCTTTTAGTTTTTATGCTGCACTTCTTTGAACGACAGAGAAGTTGAGACCTAGCGGAATATAGAATTCAGCGTGTATTTAAAAGTAAATAGAGTGAAATTAAGCAGGAATTAAAGGACCCCTGAACTAGAAAATATCAGACTTTATTCACTTTTTATGATTCACTCAAACTGTTCTATAAAACATAGAGAGTCAGGAATAATACCGGATTTTCTCGGAGCTTTGCAAAGATATTGAGGGGTCGTGGGTAGACAGCCGATGTAGATCGAAGCAGGGCCATACATTTGTGTTGATATGGCCAAACCCCGTTCACCTGGAGAAGTTCATCATCTCTTTAGAATCCGTCAGCGAAAAAAATTGCAAGCATGTGTGCTTGCCGTCTAGGGAGCACCCCTGACAGAGCACTCCCGACTGCGTTGTAGACTCCATGGGCTGTCTCTGTTGTCCGCCCAGGTAGTAAGATAGTTAAGCACCTACTTTCCAATCCACCCACCCGTGGAGGAGTGGGCTCGAGACGTTTTAGGCGCTCGCTGTTCACCCTCCAAAGATGGCCTGCGACCGCTGGCAGCGGCCGCGCCAAAGTTCAGGTGACGTCATGGGGCAGAACGGTCGTGCCGGGCATTGCGGCACGTTACACTTCCGTCATGTGGTTTTGGTGCGCGCAGTCTACGCGGTTTTGACCTCGGAGACCTTCATCGGGCAGCCGTTATAGGCGGGCGAAAACGTCCACACACCGGACAGTAATACTTGCGGACGCTATGAAATCTCTTGTTATATGCGAGGAAGGTATGCTGGGCCGCAGGCCTCACCTGCACGATCTTCAGTTGATACATGGGACGGATTAGCGCGTACGACACTGCGACCCCATGACGTAATGGCATAAGCTCTATTAAAGATGTTGCTTTACTTGCTATTTTCGTTCAGAGAATCGACTCCGAAATCGCGTTGGTAAACATTCTAGTACTGAGCTGTCCTGGCCGGGAGCATTCCTTCCCACCCCAGGGACCCTAGCGGCTGCCATTCTGGCGATACGGGGCAGTAGTCTCCTGGTCGATACGAAGGCCCTCAGAGGGATACATCACACACCGGTCCCCGGTAGGAAGGTACCGGCTCATCACACACCGGTCCCCGATAGGAAGGTACCGGCTCATCACACACCGGTCCCCGATAGGAAGGTACCGGCTCATCACACACCGGTCCCCGATAGGAAGGTACCGGCTCATCACACACCGGTCCCCGATAGGAAGGTACCGGCTCCGCATGCCGGCCGGAGCCAATGCTTAGGCCTCCCTGTGCGCGTGTCCGACTGGGCGTCCGCGTGGGGACCTGTGGACCTCCAGATAAAATACACCATCGTGAGCTGTCCGGGCACCTGACCGAGTCTGTGTGTGCTCAGTCAAGTGCACGGACTTAGTGTGTGTGTGGGGGGGGGGGGGGGGCTGTGGATCTCCAGATCAAACATACCATCGTAAGCTGTCCGGCCACCTGTCCCAGTCTGTGTGCACTCAGTCAGGTGCACGGACTGAGTGGGGCCCTGTGGATCTCCAGATCAAACACACCATCTTGAGCTGTCCGGGCACCTGACCGAGTCCGTGTGCACTCAGTCAGGCGCACGGACTGAGTGCACACAGACTGCCGCTGACTACAGACATCCGCCTCCCACACGGGAGCTCATGCCCGACAACACAGTAGTGCCAGCCCGTTTCGGGCGAACCACGTCGAGCAAACTTCGATCGTCACTCCTGAACAAAACTCGCCGCTGTACCTGGCATATGTCTAAGACGCAGTGTGCTGTTGGCAAGAATTGAGCCACCGGCATAACGTACAATAGATACGTGGAAGCCATGAAGTCGCGCTCCAATAACGCAGCTGCCTAGCCGCCGTATGAGTGGCGAAAGGAAAATCCGTTGGACGCGGCGACGGAATGACTCCCTCACGAACGCCGCGGCGTACCCAGAAGCTCAGTGGTCGTTGGCCGCCGAAACTCGTCCTGATTGATGACAGACGAGAATGTCAGCTTGTTAGCAGTGCCCTACCGCGCACGGAAAGGCGCGCGGTATCGCTCTGCCGAACGCCAGCACGCCAGAGGCGGTCAAATTATTCCGCGCGTCAAGGTCAAAAGTGAAAGGGGGCGACTCCCGTCTGAGGTACCACTGGATAGTCCTGCACAAGGATAGTGATCCCAGGCGTACCCTGTTCCTGTATGGGGCCTTCGAGTGCACAATATCAGAGCAGAGCCGGCGCCATTAATCTTTTCCTAAGGCAGATATAGGGGCCTCCTAAGCAGATCTTGGGGATTGCTATCTATAGGTGCGTGGAGAGGGTGGTCAAGGGTTGTTCATTTGTTTGGAATACCCAAACCTAAGCCCTATGGTGATGCGTGGAAAGATTCTCCTTCAACATTGGCATTGGTCGCCTCACTTCCGTGGCCAATGCCAACGTCTTCCGCCCCTTTGACATTTATGTTCGTGTTCCATACCCTCTCTTAAGACATCCCACCAGATTTCGCGCATGTTTTCAAAGCGTCTTAGGTTTCTATAACGGAACAAAACCGCATCTCGGCCTGTTGGGACTTCAGGTCTTGGTAAACAGAGCCTCATGGAATGGCGAGGCGTCCAGTATTTTCCATCACTTCTTGTTTGCACCCGATCAGCCTGCTCTACACCAGCCTGGCCTCCCGATCACCAGCAGAGTTTGATGTCCCGGGATCCACGCCTACGCCTGTCGTGCATGTTCCCTGCTGTGAACCTATGTGCTACTGCATCGTGAACGCCAATGCATTTCGCGTTCTAGGCCACTCGTACAAGGAAATCTAGCCGACCAAAAACTTTGGCTACCTGGCTCATGGCTCGCGGAATAGTGACGTGCAGCTATGCACGTACCACACATTCCTCATCAACGCACGCGCATGTACACGTGATTTCTTTGCCACACATCGATCCCGTTTTCAAGAAACGAGCGAAATACGCGACAAATAATGTAAGGGACATTTCCTCATCATCGTTCACCGAGAACCTCTAGAAACAAAATAAACACACGTCAAGGAAAGATTTGCTGTTCGCAGACTGGCCCAATCTGGCGCGATGTTTAATACAAGCAATCGGATTCCTTTGAGTACGCAGATGACGGTAATGATCAACGATGGTCTGCGCAGGAGGATAGGAGAAAATCCGTCAACTTTTGCATAACTTTTTGTGGCATCCAGGGCGCCACATGGAATAAGCGCCTGAAAAGGTCTCAGGCCGTCCTCTAGCTCTCGGCTCCTGATGCAGTCGGCGTGATCAGCTCATGAGAGCTCTGATGTGGCTGTTTGATAACAGCCCTCTGAATCCATCATCATCGAGGAAATACCAAAAAACGCTCCGCGCGACCAGCCACGCCTTCACAAAGCATTTACCCGCCACCGATCCGTGCAGACATCGGGCATAATGTTCGGCATTAGATTAGTTTTACTGACATGCCGCATCTATCCACGTGTCACCATTCCTCCCTTTCTGTCACATGACAGGTGACATACCCAAACTACAGACATTTCCTATTAAATATATTCTTTCGTCTAGCTTCGACGAGCCACGACAAGCATGAATGACACGATGACACTCGCGCTGCGAGCGATGACACAAGCGCATAGGGAGCAGAGGAGCGCGAGCAGGGCCGTGCTAATTCCGTCTTCGGCGCACGCGGGATATCCGCCACGAGTTGGCCTCTTCGTACTTGTTGTACAGCGGCTCCAGGCGCTGGTTCTTCTTGAATTTGGACAGTTTGGTTGGGTCGGACACCTTAAAGAAAGAGGGCGCGTACTCTACCAGCCACTTGGGGTCAATGGTGGTGACCTCACGCATGTACTCCTTGGTTGTCTGTACCAGCTCGTGGTAAATAACCCACTCCGGCTGGCGGTTGAACAGCGACGATGACGGATGGATGTAGACGTTCTGCGAGTCGACCAGCGTGCGGTATCCCTCCTGTGGGTCCTTCTTGGCCGCGTTGCGGAAGAACCCGGAGCAGACGGCCTTCTGGACGCGTGCCACGTTCTTGCCGCAGCTGACCACGTCCAGCTTGTGCCGGTCCATGATGCCCATCAGCTGCTTCCGCACATCCTGGGCCCGCTTCAGCGTGCGGATTTGCACGAAGTTCTCGTAGCACCAGGGGTTGCTGAACTTGTTGTTTTTCCACGAGTTGTAGACGGCGAGCAGCGTGAGGTGGTCGCCCTCCTGCTGGTTGAACTTGGCCTTCTTCTGGTCCGCCAGCTGTTGCTTGTCCTTGGGCCGGTAGAACACGTTCTGCACGGACAGCATGGAGACGATGGTGAGGATCTCGTCTGAGCATTGCAGCTGCACGGACATGATGAGCATCTTGGAGAGGTTCGGGTCGAGCGGGAACTCGGCCATGCGCCGGCCGAACCGGGTCAGCAGACCCTCGTCATCCAGCGCCGACAGCGAGTGCAGCTGCTCCAACGCGATCACCATCGTCTCCATCGGTGGCGGGTCCATGAAATCGAAGCTGATGAGGTCGTTGATGCCCATGGCCTTGAGCTGCAGCACCACAGCGGCCAGGTTGGTGCGCTGGATCTCGGGCACGTTGGTGGTGAGCATCTCGTCGCGGTAAGCGCGCTCTGTGTAGAGCCGGTACCCCTTGCCGGGCCCGGTGCGGCCGGCGCGGCCGGCGCGCTGCTTAGCCTGTGCCTGCGAGATGGGGGTAACCACCAGCGAGTCCATGCCCGTCTTCGAGTTGTACACCTTCTGCTTGACGAAGCCCGGGTCCACCACGTAGTAGATGCCGTCGATGGTGAGCGACGTCTCGGCGATGTTCGTGGCGATGACGACCTTGCGTGAGCCGGGCGGCGCCGGGTCAAAGATGCGTGTCTGCATCTCCGACGGCAGCGACGAGTACACCGGCAGGATGATGAGCTCGGGCACGTCCGGCCCCAGCGACTTCATGCGCTCGTACAGGATCTCGCACGCCGTGTCGATCTCCTCCTGACCGGTGAGGAAGAGCAGCACGTCGCCGGGCGGCTCGTTCAGGTGGATGTGCATGACGGTGATGAGCGACGCGTCCAGGTAGTCCGTCTCCGGCTCCTTGGCGTAGAGGATCTCCACCGGGAACGTGCGGCCGGGAATCGTGAAGATGGGCGCCTCGAAGAAGTACTGCGAGAACTTGACGGCGTCGAGCGTGGCCGACGTCACCACCAGCTTCATGTCCGGTCGCCGCTTGATGGTCTGCTTCAGCAGGCCGAACAACACGTCCGTGCTCACAGTGCGCTCGTGCGCCTCGTCTAGCATGATGCATGAGTAGGTGGACATGTCCGGGTCGATGAGACACTCTCGCAGCAGCATGCCCTCCGTCATGTACTTGATGACCGTTTCCGTGCTAGTGCAGTCCTCGAAGCGGATGGTGTAGCCGACCTCCTGGCCGAGCATGCAGCCGTATTCCTCGGCCACGCGCTTGGCCACCGACATGGCCGCCACGCGGCGTGGCTGCGTGCAGCCGATCCGGCCCTTGACCGTGTAGCCGGCCTCGGCCAGGTACTGGGTCATCTGCGTCGTCTTGCCAGAGCCTGTCTCGCCGATCACGATCAGGATCTGGTTGTCGGTGATGGCTTTCACCAGCTGCTGCTTCAGCTTGTAGATGGGCAGTGACTGGCGCTGCTCAATAATACTCATGTTGGTCTTCTTGCCGTAGGAGCCGCGCGCGCCGGACGTGATATGCTTCTTCCACTCGGGCAGGTCCTGGCCGAGCGAGCCGCTGGGCCCGCCGCGGCCGCCCACGCCCTCGCGCGCTGTCGCGTCCACCTCAGGCATTGGGTCATTCCAGTTGGGCCGCTCCTGTGGCGCCGCCAGCGCCGCCTCGGCGTCGCGCTGTGCCATCTTCTGCTCGCGCCGCTCCTTGGAGAGCGCGCCCTGCATCATGGCCGCCTGCGCCAGCGAGCCGTCCGGGTTCTTGACGATGCGTACCGGGCTGAGGTCGGCAGCCGCGCGGCCGTGGCCCATAAGGAACGGCGGCTCGTCCTCCACCAGCTCGATCTCCACCTCCGCATCGTCCTCGTCGACACGCGGCAGCACACCCGTCTCCTCGTCGAACTCGGGGTACTCGGACTTGTCGATCACGTTGGCGGCGATCATCTGCTTCAGTTCCCAGCGCTCCGGCGACGAGATCCGCTGCACGCGCCGTACCGCGTTCAGCGCGTCGTCGTCGATGGCCGGCGCGCCGCGCTGCTCGGTGGGCCGGTCCGGGTTGCGCGCCAGCAGGCCGTCGTCGGCCACGCGTACGGCCAGGCTGGGGTTCAGGTCCTCGCCCGTCTGCTGATCCACCTCCTTCATTGTCAGCGACGTCTTCTGGCCGGTGAACGAGAGGACCTTGACTTTGACGGCCTGACCGCGCGACACCACCTCGTTCACGTCAGCCACGCGGCCCTCGCGGCGCAGCTGCGAGATGTGCACCAGGCCCTCCAGGCGGCGTTTCAGCCCCTCCAGCTGCACGAAGCAGCCGAAGTTCATTATGTTGACCACCTTGCCGTCGTATACCTTGCCCACCACCGGCTCGTCGTCCAGTGCCGGCCGCTCGCGGCTGCGGCGTCGTTCGCGGCTGCGATCGCGAGAGCGGGACCGCTCGTGGCGAGGCCGGTCGTGTCGGTCACGTTCGCGGCGGGAACGGTCTCGCGAGCGAGACCGCTCGCGCCGAGACCGGTCGCGCGATCGGGACTCGTCGTGGCGCCGATGGCCTGGAGAGCGCGAGCGGCTGCGGTGGCGCCGGCGCTTGCGGTCGCCGCTGCGGCTTCGGCTCCGGCTGTGCCGCCGGCGCTTCTCGCGACTCCGACTGCGACTTCGGCGCCGCCTGTCGGTTTCTGGTTTAACTGCAGTTTGTCGGGAGGGTGCCAGCATCTCGAGCGCGCCCATCGCGTCGTCAATGAGGGCGTCGTTCTCCAGCTTGACTTTGGCTTCCCCGTCTTCCTTTTTTATCTGTGAATGTGCAGGAATGCATACTGAGAACAGCACTAATGAGCTGTTTTTGAGAACCGCAGAACATTGTTTCACTAATGACCTGAACAAATTAGGCAATCTTACCATCTGGTAAATATTGAGCAACCAACTGGACAGGGCTGTCGCGGTAACCGCCGGCTGGCAGGCAGAACAGACGAACATCCATTAACGCAAACGAACGTAGATGCCGGTCGCCCACGAAAAAGACACCCACCACGCGGGCCGAAAACCACTTCGTGTCATGCTAGCGGGGGTGGGGGGGGGGGAGGAATGACACTGCCGTTCACCCACCTCGTCGATCAGCATGGTCCTCATGGCGGGGTCGTTCTTCAGGGCGAGCGCGGGCACGAGGGCACGCCGCTCCTCCTGCCGGGTGTGCCCCGGGTCCAACCGGCCGCCGTCAGTCTCGGCGGCGGCAGTGGCCGCGGTGGCAGCGCTCGGCTCGGCGCCGACTGGCCGCATAAGCTGGATGATGCGCAGCAGGCTGGCCGTCAGAGAGTCGGGAAACTCAGCACCGTTCTGCTCCAGCACCCGCTTGAAGGCGCCGAACGTGGTGTGCTTCTGAGCCAGCGCGATGATGAACTCGGCCAGGTCTTTGTCGTTGATACCCAGGTGATTGTCGAGCTCAGTGCACAGCTTGGAGACCAGCGAGAGGTGCTCCAGCTGCTCGATCTCGGCGGCCATGGCGGCGATTGAGAGCCGGTGCGCACGCGACCGTGGCGACCGATCGTACTCTGATGACACACAGGGAATGGCACTTCAGGACAAACTCACATGGCAAGCCTGCTCAGACAGACTGGGTTTGAGGGTTGCCCTCAACTGCACCAGATCCGGCAGGTACATCATAAAAAACCCTAGGTGATGCAGCAGGAACTGGGAATCTGCAGGGAACAACCAATATTGTGGATGAGTGGCCCCACAGTGGATTTGGGCCCCTCTCAGCTTTTTTGTCTGTGGTACAGCATAATTCTAAAAATGAAACACACAGGTCTCAACAAAACATTGATGCCCCAGTGGTATAGGGAAGGGAACTGGATGTGTTAAACAGAAGCACTGAGTTAAGGTCTGGATGGGGGGCCATATTCACAGATATAACTGATGACAAAGGTCACCTGGCACCTATTTACCTGTGTCAGCCCATGCCTGGGATGAACAACAAATTTTCTAAAAGGTTATAAATAAGTAGCAAAAATACAAATGTGAATTGGACATTGGGCACAGCCTGGGCTGATTGCAGAACTGGCACAGTCTGCCTGAACAGAGTTCCCACATGAGAGAGTGATGATTGCTGGATAATAGCTGGCTACAAGTGCACTTGGTTGTTCAGAGCCAGATAGGACGTGCATCTTGCAACTACTAACAGGTGAAGAACTCAGGTGTTTGGTACAATATATCATGAAATATCCCCTTATTCTAAATGTGAAAATGACATTTACTTTAACTGTGCAGTGTAGCAGCAACTTGCAGACAATATCACCATGGCTACGGAGTCAATAGGCAGTACAGAGTTTGGCACACAGGCACTCTACCCAGGTCTATACTTACCTCCCCAGTCTCGCTCTTCTTCTCTTCTCCTTCTCCCTCCTTCTCTCTATCTCCCTCTCTCTCTCTTTCCTCTATCTCCCTCTCCCTCTCTCCTCCTTCCCCTCTTTCTCCCCTCCTCCCTCTCTCTTTTCTCCTCTCTCCTCCCTCTCCCTCTCCCTCTCCCTCTCCCTCTCCCTCTCCCTCTCCTCTCTCCTCTCTCTCTCTCTCTCTCTCTCTCTCTCTCTGCTCCCTTCTCCTTCTCTCTCTCTCTCTCTCTCTCCCCTCGCTATCTAACCCAACCTCACCCCCTGTCCCAACCTGACCTCCTATCCTCCCCTCTACCTTCTCTCCTTCTCTCCCTTTTCTCCTCTCCTCCCTCTCTCTTCTCTCCTCCCTCTCCTCTCTCTCTATCCCCTCTTCCCTCTTCTACCCTCCCCTACCTCACCCTCACCTCACCTCACCTCACCTCCCCTCACCTCACCCTCACCTAACCCTAACCTAACCTAACCTAACCTACCTTAACCTAACCTAACCAACCTCTATGCCTCTATAGTTTCAAGCCAACATCAGTGGGGAAATTATGCACAATTTTATATTGAACTGACTTGGGAGCAAATGTGTGCACATGATACTCACATGCCCAGACCAATGTGTTTTGAGTTTGAGTTTGAGTTTTTCACTTTTGAGTTTGGTGCAATGGAAGGATGTCTTGCAAACTGGCACCCATGGGCCTGTGTCTCTTCTTGAGATGGAATTAAGCACAATAACTTCCTAGTGTGAGTGTCACAGGAGGTGATGCAGTAAAATGAGCATCGCAGCATCCTTGATGCTGGATGCTGGTGGGGCTGTGGTGCTGGTGGCGTGCCATACCTGTATCATGGGATCACTCAAGCACTCAAGCACTCAAGATCACTCAAGTTTTGTCCAAAATGCAGGGACCGTCTTTAGTCCTCCAGTCTTTAGTCCTCTTCAAATTAAAATTGGTGGTGACTGCACACTGGCTCACAACACTCAGGAACACTCACAACACTCATACATGCCCTGAAATCATTGCTGCAATATCATCCTTTAACTGGACATGTACAACACAGTGTGTTTTCTGCAATCCAGTACACACACAACACATGAAAGCTTACTTTGACCACCCAATAGAGCATCTGTCACTGTCAATTAGGAGTGCTCAGGCATTCACCAGTACTCAGTGGTGTCATTTTCCAAAATCTACTGGGGGCTCCACTAAAAAGGTACACACAATTTACCCCCAAAGGATTATTTTTCTGGATTTAGGCCATCTGAATATATGTCATCAATGTCTTCCTTTAATCTGTGGAAGAGTAACTTCTAATCTCAAGTGGAGGTGAACTGCCTTCGTGAAAAGCTTAGAATGGGGTCCAATTCACAGCAAAAAAAAATTGTAGTAAATGGAACCAATGATGGCTTCTATTGTCATTGATGGTGTTTTATGACCAGCCCTGCCACAATCTGTGACCAAAACACCAGCCACTGTTTAGGAAAGCATGTGTTGCAAAAGCTCTCATCTGGGCTGCCCTGTACTTTTAAGAGCTGCCTCATGTCAATTGTCCTTTATCCCAGTCCAAACATTGTTGTGGTTAATTGTTCTTTATCTCTATCCAAAAATTAGCATTTGTAAAACTTGCCAAACCTTTTCAAACTGGCTCAACATGTGGAGTTCACATGACGAAAACATTAGGCGCCTGCAGGAAACTGATCGATACAAAATTAGCATGATACCAAAAGTGATGTGCTTGCTACCTAGCACCTACTACCCAACACACCAAAAGCTGACAATTAATTTGCATTTATTTGTTCCAGCACTTTTTCCTTTTCATTTCTTACCTTTTCCCTTAAACTAACGTTCTTCGTGCTATGAAGACGAGTTGGTGACAGCCGCGAGCCTACTTAGGCCTGTCTGTCGCCACCAGTGCAACTTCGCTACATTCGCTTTGCGTTAAACAATTTGCGTCACGTTACGTTACCGATGCGAACCGTGGGCAACTGCAAGGCTGTGTAGGAGAGGTAAACCGTCCGCCGATTTTAGCTTCATCTTCGCTTAACGTTAGCATGACGTCATTGATGCCAAGACTTCAATGCGCGATGGGTCGCTGGACGCCGGTACCTTGTCCTTTGATGCTGTAATGCTGACGGGAAGCAGGAACATTGAAATATTTACATAGGTGATAAAAATCAGTCAGAGGTACGTGCATATAATCAAAAACCCCTTACGTCCAATTGCATGGCAAACATAATGCTATGCTTTGCAAGCCCACGCCGCGAATCGTTAAAATGCGATAGCCTGAAAAGTGAATATGTACATGGACTTATTCATCACAGGGCGGCAGCAACATCGGGCTGTATTCTTACCGATAACGAACAAACTGCATGTGGGAGATGGATATGACCAGTGAGCTGATTGCGTAAAATATAGCGACAAGTATGATGAGGTATGCAGCAGCCTTAAAGAAAGTGTCCCGCCTATAAAGCATATTTCAAAAATTCACCATGGGGAACCCTCGAGACTAGTTAGACTAATAATAGCACTGGGCGATGCGACTGCAGCACCATCAGGACATATTAAGGGCGTCAAGTTTGATTATTTTCGAGTCCAAAGGACCCTGCAAACGCTTTGTAAAAACACTAAATTTCTTCACTGCAGTCGAGACTGCCGCTGTCATGACGATGGCCGTGCGCACCTCAACTGCTGTGGGCAAAAAAAAGGATTGACCCAGCGGGCAAGGGACTGTTAAAGAGAAGTGCATTGGTTGAAGCTTAAACCAGTGCGTCAGACGAGTCATGTGATACTTCTATTCTCAAAGCCAAAGTGCGCCTCGAAAAGAGCCACCGTGGTTAACGTCATAGGGGAGAAATCAAAGCCATAGTATAACATTTCGTTGATTTCATGGAATCATAGCTTCATATTCGCACATCGTTTTTCTATTAAAGTGTTAAAAGCTTTCGTAACATTTGTACACAAATATTTTAACGCATTAATGTCTTGCAAACGTTACAGAACACACGCGTTGGAGAAGCAAGGCAAATGAAATTTATTACTTTCCTAGTGGTAAGCTGGGAGACAACTAAGGCTTTTCCCGCGGGGGCGGATACTTCTAATCAAAATTTTGAATTATTCAGAAGGACTTCGAGAAAACTGGTACGACTGATCAAATCGTACGCGCCTGATCTAAAGGAAATCAACGCAACAGATAAATGAAAAGTACAGAAAGGTGGGATACCCCATGGTCGTGCCGCGGCCGGTGCTGCGATTGAGTGGCGAGCGCGGCGAGTCTGTTGTGTGCTTGCTGTCGATTTTTGCGCTAAATGTGCCAGATACACCGTGCTCAGTCCGTGCACATCTACATTCCGCCGTGCTTGGTCTGCACCTGTCTACGGGGCTGGCTGTGCTCGGTCCGTGCCTGCTTACATTCCGGCGCGCCTGGTCTGCCTGTCTGCGAGGCCGGCCGTGCTCGGTCCGCACCTGTGTGCTGGGCCGACAGTGCTCGGTCCGTGCCTGCTTACATTTCGGCGTGCCCGGTCTGCCTGTCTGCGAGGCCGGCCGTGCTCGATCGGCACCTGTGTGCTGGGCCGACAGTGCTCGGTCCCTATCTGTCTATTCAGTCAATGTCAGTGTCGAACCACCTATGTTCTGTTCTTAGGACGTTTATGTGCGTTGCTGTGTTTAACGTCAAAAGAGCAAGAGATGTACCTGTGATAACTTTGTATTTAGCCAGAACAACGCACATAGCACAACTCATGAACCTCTATGTGTATCATGGCAGTTGCAGTGCGCTCCAATAATTACATTTTCTTCACCCCTGAGCACAGTCTGTTTGGGTAGCGCGTCCAAACAGAGACACAAAGTGGGCAAAACGAATACGCAGCCCTTCCAAACAAGCAGTGGGCAACACGCGCGCCTGTGTGAGCCTGGTTCTGGCTGTGTTTTGACGCCGGTCTCCAACGGCTCAGTCTTTCGTGGCAACATTTGTGCCTCGTAACAAAAGATGGCCTTTCCTTGTTTATTATAACTCTCGGGACACTGTGGTATTTAAATTCGTAAAAAAACTAATTTACGATCAGTGCTTAGCGCAGGATGCCAGGCGGCTCCCACATAGGCGTGGAATCAGCGGAAGTTCTCCTAATTTGGGGAAGCGGGGCGGGGATGATAGTCATTTTGGTTACTTCTTTTTAGTCAAAGTCCATGGGGTGAATGCTAAATTTTAAGGAAGTTGAGCGCTCGTGTGTGTGATATGTGTGGCTACGCAGGGGCGTAGCCAGTCTTGTTAAGGTGGGGAGGGACACGGGGTTGACAGAGGGCTCCCTCCTTGTGAAAGTCTCCCCGCAAAAAGCAGCGTCGCTGAATATAGCCAGCTTGATTTCCTGTGGCACAATTTTCTTCGTTGTATGACAATATTCGTCTTTAACTGAAACAGAAGCGAGACGCCACCGAAAATGCAGTTCTGTTTGCATTTTGAGGTCAATAAGCTGAAGTAACCAGGTGTTAAATGATTTCCCAGGAGAACCTACCAGCGCTATCCGTTTTGCAAGGGTTCAGCGGACGTTTTCTAAGCCGCTAGCACTAAGGGGCTGCGCCGAATTTGTTTTCTGGTTATACGGGACTTTGTGAATGTAGAGTACGGATAGAAGTGGGGTATGAATTTGTATTGGCACGGCCAGCCTGTGTTCGTCTGGGAATATTCAACCTTTGCTCAGAACCGTGTCGTTAAAAAGTGCAGAACAGCTTTGACCATGTGCGCTCGCAAGTCTTGGAACAAAACCCCCACGCTCGGCGTTGCATTCTCCGTGGACGGCGCAGCGACGGACCACGGTTTACACTTTACGGTGGCCAGCGGGAAGACGAAAACGATGCCGTTTTTGAGAGGAATGTCTTCAGATATTCAGAGTAGTATATCAGTGCTTGAAAATCTGCATCGCTTTCATCATCAAGTTCGGCATCACCTGGACTCAAGCCACAGGAAAAACAAATTATACTACCGTCAAAGGGCAAAATCTGGTTTGTCGAAATTGGCGACGTGGTGCATTTTGGGGAAACTCGGTCGCTGTTAACTCGTTATCAAAGCCCACATATTACGGGAAACCTTTGCATAGCATGTTAAAATCCGCTAGTGATGTCACATTGGTAATAAACGACAAACTGTCAAGCAAAACAAAAGTGCATATATCGTGTATTTTGTTTTCGCGATCAACCACCAAGACCGTCCGAATTCGGACAGTTGTCTTGTCTTTGGACATGCGGATTAAGTTCCGCCTGTTGTATCAGCTCCAAATGGTAATTTTGGCTCTAGTAGACAAACATCTCCGAAAACCAAAAGTCGTGAGTCACATCGTCCAAGTACAAGCGATGGTGATGATATCCCTCTCTCAGAACTCTCCTGCTGGGTAAAAAAAAAGATGAAAAGGGAGGGAATGTGTCTCTGGCCAGGCGCATTGCCAGGGATTTTGAGTGGGGGGCAAAATTTTCAAGGGGACCTCCTCGAAAAAGCAGGGTCTCCTCGCAGGCGTGTTAGGAGGGGGAGGCGGCTCTTGGGGAGTGTCTTATTCAAGAGGTAGAAGAATCGAGGGCATGTGCTTCTCTATCAAGCTGTTACATTCATCATATCCAAGTAGATAAATGTCGACAATAAGAAAAACGCTTTGAGCCTTTTGATGATCTAGAAAACGGCCTCGGTAGTCTAAAACAGAATCTCAGGATGCAAAGAGAGGCCTTCTAATCCCAACCGGAATGTTTCCGATTCGCGAAGGAAACCTCCAAATCTAGCCAGAGGGCCTGGTATTACGAAAACAGAGCATCATGATGAGGAGCTATCTGATGCGTGAAAGGGGCCCCCTGTTCCTGAGATGGGGCCTCCTGCATATAGAGTGCCTCTTAACACAGAGCGGTTTTTGTTAGTTTTTAATGGGCCTCCAGAACCGCAGAGGGAGTTCTTAACGCAACATTTGGCCTCATGATCCAGACAACGGTCCTCTTGGCATAAAAAGTGTCTTTTATGCCCGTTTCATTACTCTCTAGCTTCATGATGGGCCTCGGTCTGAATTTTTGCGATTGACGGGTGGTTACGATGCCTCTGGTTTGGGAAAAACGGGCCTCGCAAAATGGGGGGGGGGGAACAGGAGATAGATAGCAACACATAAAATGCACATAAAAACATAGCATAAAAAATGCTCCAACAGCAAAAACCAACGTTTTTTGGGGTTATAAACTTACATTGCAGTAATGCCAACCGAATCACAATAACACAAACTCCCAGGCAATGACGTCATTTGTGTATCAAGCATGTAACCTGTGCGTTAGGCAGGCCCGCTAAGTGTCAGAATAGAACGATTCACGAAGTACATATTGCACTATTAGATAATTCTCACATAAGTTCACTTCGTCTTCGACCAAAGTGCTTTTAGTATTACCCAATAACCAACAACTGCATGTGCACAGTGACAGGCATACACCACACCACACTTTGCCTGCGAGCTGAAGTATTTAAGCATTAATAGATGGTCGTCCACTGCCGCAGTGACAAGCGCATTATAATCATGGAATATCCTCCACCTCTCTTACCCTCTATCTTGCTTCACCGGTGACTGCATCGTCGCGACACCCCGCTTCAGGCGACATCAGGCCCGCGGAAAGGATCTTTCAACGTATGTATTGCCGATTGCATTGTCAAATTTGTATATATGATGGCCGAATGTATTGCCAAATTGAGGGTGTTGCGATGGGCTCACCTCTAGGACCTCTACTCGCTAATTTGTTACGGGACACGTAGAAGCCGACACACTACAAAATGACGACATAAGACCGGACATTTACTGCCGCTACGTAGACGATATCCTTGTGAAAGTTGCGGACATTGACCAGTTAGGACATCTCAAAAACACCTTTGAAGACCCGTCTGGTTTAAAATTCACAACACAGCTAAGTGTGCAAAACATAATACCCTTTCTTGACTTGACTGTCGATGGATAAGTAAAACGATT